GCACGTTTTCAGTAGAAGGTGGAAGGAGACGCTGCCCGGCAGCTGGCGTGGGAGCGTTATTACTGCACCCCGGGAGGCATAAATAGATCAAGTGATTCATTTAGGGGTGACTGACAGAGCTCAAAGTAAATTTTAGGACTTCGCAGCTCCCAAACCACGCTTGGGTCGCTGTGTTGGCTCATCTCTGACAGCAGAAAGACCTTTTCTTTCTAATGAGGTCCCCTGATAAATTAATAGCAGAAACCCTGCTTCGTTGGCAGCTGCACAGCTCAGAAAGCATCTTTCACTCGCTGAAAGACATTGGTTTTCCTAGGATTTGGAACACTGACTTCCACTCCGGATTATGTGTTTTATCGTGGGAATAATGTGAGCTATTCTAGACGTTTACTGTAAATTTGAAAACGTCTACTGAGACCGAAAAGTTTTAGACTTGCTTCACATTCCTCATTTTTATCATACAATGCACTCTTGGGGAAATTGCCATTTTTTCACTGAGTAGATGGATTTCGTGTAACAGGGAGCTAAGGAACCAGGTGGCCTGGCGGCAGTGCAGGAACAAAGAAACTGGGTATTTTAAAAAATACAAAAGCTTGAGAAGTGGTGGAACTTTAACTGTGGCCATTGCACTGATTTCCACTGGAGAGCAGCAGAGGTTTGCACTGTGGTGGTTTCTCTCATTTGGATGGATTTGAAGACTCAACTGTGCTTTAAATGCACGCCCTGCGTTGTCTTTATGCACTGAGCTCGTGGGCCTGCGCAGGAGTGACGAGAAGAAAAGACTTCAGCCCCGTATATTGGATTTTCATGTGTGAGTTCTGTTTAGACATCATCCTCCTAAGCTAATATTTAACATAGTGCGCCCAGGGCATAGGCAGTTCAAGTACAAATTTATTTATAAACATGGCAAAAGGAAAGAAAAGCTGCTTGCCTTTTAATTACGACGAAACCCATCATTTTAGCTAAAAAAATAATTTAAAAAAAGACACAGCATGTACTTCCCTACTCACATCTCCTCAAGTGAAATTTTCATTTGAATTACTGGAAATGAGCCCTACGAAAAGATTATTTTTTTTCATATTTCTCTTCAGCTGTTGTCCACTGAGAAAAAATGCAACTGCTCTGTGTTTGCCTGCTGCCTGCTGTGGATTACAGTCGGACGTGATGCGGGAGTGTTGAGGGAAGCTGTCTTTCAGCATTTCTCTCTCCCTTGAGGTCATACTTAGTTCCCCATGTGCCTCGGTCGTCTGTGTTGTGGAGGACACTGAGAGCCTTTGGGGTGGCGGTTATTGACTGGGTTTTTTTTTACTGAGCCTGAACAAACTGTGTAGGACGACTGCAGACAGCTGAGCTGAGCGGAAGCTCTGCTCTGCTCTCGGGGCGATCTCAGCAGGCCGTACCTAAGGGCGGTGGACTTTTAACCGAGACCTCACCACATTATTCATGCGGAATACTGCGTAACGTGAGGACAGCCCTAAACAACTGCAGATTATTGTGAGGATAAAAATACCAATTGCCTTGAGTTGTGGCAGAGATCCTTTTCTCTATGTTAGCGTTTAACAGTTATTGCCATCGTACTTGGCAAATTGCACAAATGCATTAGCTCAAAAAACATACGTTCCGACAGATGGCAAAAGTGGGTCAAGGTGTCTGCTGACAGCCTTTAAGGGAAATGGTCTCTGAGGATATGCTATTCTTATCCTGTTTCTATTAGCAGAATTGATAGATGTGGTTTTCTTTCACAGCTGGAGCAAGCCCGACACTGAACAGGCAGGCCGTGGCCACTAGAGTCGCAGTCAGACTGACGAGTACAGGTAGAGGAGAGCCGTTTGTGCTCGTCTTTGATTTCTACTCACCTGGGGGTTTTCTAACATGGATAAATGAAGTATTTAAAAAGGTGAACATTAGAAAAATTACCCAGGACCCAAGTTGCAAGTGGTGTAAAAATGTGTCTTACTGACAAGTCTTACCACTGTGATCACGTTTCATGACGTGCACCTTGCAGTCAGTGTGAGACCAGAAACTCAGGGATGGATTGAAAATAGAACGAGTTACGGAATTATATCCTAGTTTTTTGCCAGGAGATCAGGGGACTTTGATGGCCTGGCGATTTAGTACACTAATCAAGCACATGAAACAGCACAAAGAAACCTGATAGTAATGTCTTTGTAGCTTGGAAGCAGTGGCTGTCTGTGGTAACGAGTAGAGTAAAATGCACTTCACACTCTTGGGGAAAGAACAGCCTGAAAAAGAAATGAGTTTTCTGGATAATAAGAAAAATTATATTCCCTATCCCTAGAAATAACCATTTATTTGGAAGTAAATTGATTTGCAATTTACCAGGGAAGAAAATTAGCCCTTGAATCGGCATGGAGTGAGAAAAGCTTAACTGGGGACTTTACCCAGAGGAAGAAATTTTAATAAAAGCTTAATTCTATGGTGCTTTATGTCTTAAAGCACAACAGAAATCAAGCTAAAACCAGATGAATGATAGCAATGTTTAGCTAATGAAGAGTAGTACAGCCACGAGCAACAAAACATGTCAGACTTACGAGTCTGGTTATAAGGAGCAAGAGGTGCACAGCACAAAATGCAAGTCCCGGTGAGAACTCCCCAGATGTCCTGAGTGGTACAGATAAAGGCTGTTAGCCAAGATCATTATAAAGCTGGGGCCAAAATGGCAAAGGTAGCTGCTATGTTTACATTCTCATGAAATTTGGAGACATGCACAGTCAGTCTTCTGCCTCAGGCCTGTTTTTAAAATCTCTGCTGGTTTTAAGTAATGTAAATGGCTTGAGCTCAGTAATTATGCTTAATTCACTCACTGAAGACTTTGAAGGCCTTTACTTTCCCTTCTTCAGACTGTCTACTTCTTTGCATTCTAGGTAAACAGGTAATTTTCAATGTAATTTAGTAGTTTTGGTATAATTTTCAACGAGCAAAAGAGCTGCTCATTTATACATTAAAAATAGCAAGGAAGCGTGCTTCTGTGGTGTTTCATGTACTATATAATGCCTAACATGCCCTGCTAAGCATGGATTAATCTCAAAAGTGCCAAAGATGACCCTTATTTAATCAGGTTAAAAGACTTGGCAAAGATCACACTGCAGACCTACTGTAAAGCTGCAAACAGTGCTTGCCCACCTTATGGCAAGTCCTCAGCTTTAATTGTTAAATGACATAGTTTCAGCAAGGCTGTAAATAGATGCCCTATTGCTGCTTTTAAGTACGTATTTTTCTAAATATTCTGTTTCTAGAGACCTTTTTCTGTTTATTTTAAAATATTATTTTGCCTTAGTGAGAATTTCGGTATTAGAGTTGGTAATAGTATGAAACATCTTAAATAAATGTGTATTGAAACAACGGAATATAGTGGGCTGACATTATCAGAATACTCAGAAATACTCAGAAGTCCAAAATAACTGCAAGGGGGGCTTGCTAGAATATACAATGCTGTGGTTTGTTAAACGTCTTTCATTAAATCAGAGACCTTGGAAAGACGAGTACATGGTAGTATGATCATACCTGGGAAAAAAGACTCCTGAATGCTTGTAAACAGGCGGTATGAATAGATGCTTATGTCAGATCTATATTCTCCCACCAGAACTAAAAGGAAGACATGGATGTGTGACGGACTGCAGTGAAGAAAAGGGATCCCTGGTAAGGAAATTCACGCTATCAAAAAGCTGAACTGATCCCTGTTAAGCAGCAGCGAAGTCCTGCCCAGAGGGAAGTGAAATCCACATTATTTTGCTTTCAAGAAGAGCCAGGCAGTAGAGCCTGGGAAGTTCATCCCAGTTTGAGAAACAAGAACAGGACAAGCACGGATTCCCTCTCAGCAGGACACACTGAGGACACAAGAGCTTGGGGCTCCAGATGTTTTATCCTCAGATCTCTCCGAGGGAGTAAAATGCTCACGGCAAAATAGTTGAGTGGCAAATTGTTGAAGGGTGTTTTGACTGGGAGATCTAAAATAGTATAACTAGCCAAAAAAAAAAAAAAATCGCCTTCATGAAAGAGCAAACTTAAAGAAAACAGAACAGTATGATGATGTTTTTATTTAAATAATTTTGTGTGGCTTTTGTTAAGCAAAAAATGCGATTCAGCAGCTAAGACTTCAGTGCTTAAACAGGCGTTTCCCTAGCAGCCCCACTTTAAATAACCCGGCGAGGAGAAAAGCAGGAGATGGCGGCGCAAGCTGCGGCCTCGCTGCTGCGGGCCCCGCAGGCGGTGCGCGGCGGGGTCAGCGGGCTGGGGTTCCCGGCGGCGAT